GCCAGGTCTCAGAGTCCAGCCCAGGAGCTGGCGGGTGGCCAGGGTGGGAGACTGGGACCAAAGCAGCTACACATGAAGCCAGGCCCCAGGGCCCGAGGGTGGAGCCCAGCCAGTGAAGGGCTGCAGGGGTCCAGGCGCGTTGCTCTGAGGAGCAGGGCTCCCTTCTGGCCGGGGCAGACCCTGCTGCACGTGCGGGGGGGGGGTCCGAGATGCACCCTGCCCGACCCGGGGGTCAGCGACAAGTAGCTGTGACTCAAGAGCCCTGGCTGGTTCCCTCTGGACCCCCTCCTGGACAGAGGGACCGATCTCCACGGGCGCCAGGGCCTTCTCTTCAGCCAGCCAGGAGCACTCAGTCCCAGGTCCAGACGAGGCTTCTAACCCACCTGGCCAGGCCGTTCCCCAGCCGGTCCCCCCTCCACGCCACCGGCTGCCCATGCCTCTCCCGCAAGCAGGGGTGCCCGTCAGTTCAGTCCCTCCGTCGCCGCATTGGCGCTACTGACCGAGACGCCCACGTTTAGTGCTCCAGCGTCTCCTTCGGAACGAGGGCAGGGCAGAAAACGGGGCCAGTGGCTGAGCAGGGTCGAGATGGGCCGCTGAGTTCCAGTCCAGACTCGGGATCAAAGGGGAGACTGGCAAGTCAAGCAGCCGGAGAGAGGCCGGTGCGTGGTGAGGCCACCGTGGGGCTGAACGGAAAAGGGGCCTCTCCCAGGTGACGGAGACCTTCTCGGGGGTCTGCTCTTGCCCTAGAAGAGCCGAAACCAGCCCCAAAGCTCCTCCCCACTGAGCTGCCTTCTCACCTGTGAGTCTCGAGGGCAGGCCTCCCCGGGGTCAGGATCTCCAGGAGCTCTGGGTCTGCGCTCCCCTGGCGCACGTACACTAAAGCATCCAGCAGGTTGGTAGCAGATGCTGCTCCCCCCACGGGGAAGCTGCTGCTGTTTCCGGCATACAGGGCGATGGCTTGGGGGCCAGTGCCGAGGAGAGGGCTGCTGGAGTTTGGCGGGAACGGCAGGTCAGCTGCACCACAGGGAGGGTGGAGAAAGAGGGACAAGGAAGAAAAAAGATGCCCACAGGCAACAACTCAGCAGGGAATTCACAGAGCAGCAGATCACAGCCCTTAGCGCAGGGCGAGTGGATTTCAGAGTCTGGCCCCACCCTTTGCAGCTGCTACAAAGCGCTTTCTTTTGGGCTGCTGAGCCCAAAGGTGGGTTGTGGGGGGCAGTTTCTGCACAGCTGGTCTCTGCTTGCGTAAGGAGACAAACCTGCCCCGCGCTCTGCTCAGACAATCAACACGCTCAAAACAGAAAAAGAAGTTCTGATGTGATTTTATTCAGACTTGGCCTAACTCTCAATGAGATCTGCAGACCCAGGCAAGCCCGAAAGCTGAATATATGGTTCTTATCACACATAGTTGCTTAAGAAATTCCATCTGCACTCTGTGATTGCATATCAACATGTGAGGGTCTGGTAGAGGCAGAGGGTGATGCTAAGGGTCAAAGTTCAGCCTTCATTTTGATGCATTTCCTCATCCCCTGCTCCTCCTTATGGTGGTGATGACATTACTGTATTTCACTTGCGAGCTAATCCCCACTGCAGGAGGTAGAATGTTATAATATTCCTCTAGCACTTTCAACCAGCGACTCTTCGGCCACGTCTAGACTGCAAACCTCTTTCGAGAGAGGCTTTTTCGGAAGATACTTTCAAAAAATCCTCTTTTGAAAAAGAGCATCTAGACTACAACCAATACTTTTGAAAAAGCAAGCCGCTTTTTCGAAAGAGAGCATTTAGGCAGTCTGGATATTCTCTTTGAAAAAAGCACAGTTGGCATTACATAGCACCTTTTTTTGAAAGAGCACTTTTGAAAAAAGGCGTTCTTCCTCATAAAACATGGTTTTCCCGTGGTCGAAAAAACCGCAATGTTCTTTTGATTTACCAGTCTAGACGCAGGGGCAGTTTTTTTGAGAAAAGGCCACTTTTTTCGAAAAAACCCTGTAGTCTAGACACGCCCTCCAAGTGCAAGACATTAAGGCTGTGTTTAAACTACACCCCTCTGTTGGCAGAGGGATGTAAATGAAGCACTTTGAAAGTGCAAATGAAGCGGGGATTTAAATATTCCACGCTTCATTTGCATAATTGCATCATGGCGCTGTTTTGAACAAGCACCATTTCGAAACTGAAACCGTGGTTTAGACGTGGTTTTTTCCACAAAGGAGCACTTTTTCGAAAGAACCTATACTCACCCCATCTACACTGCAGTTTCAGTTTCAAAATGGCGCTTGTTCGAAACAGCACCATGACACGACTATGCAAATGAAGCGTGGGATATTTAAATCCCCACTTGATTTGCACTTTCGAAGTGCTTCATTTGCAGCCCTCCGGCAACAGAGGGGTGTGGGTCAGACGCAGCCTGAGGAATGAAACCTCGGTGCTGGGAAAAGGCAGGGAAGTCCAGTCCCTGATTGGCAGCTGGGAACAAGCACCGGAGACTGGAGCTCTTGAGGGGGGCCACGGTGAGGCTCAGTGACAGAGCTGCCACACAATCCCTACTCCTGGGCTTTGCCTACTAAGTTGGGCGGCACCGTGGAATAAGGCCTGGCCACGGCTCTATTTTCCTAGTGGGGGCACTGGGGCCTAGACCCAGCCTACATTTCAAAGGAGGCTAGAGATCTGGGGCACCTCAACGTTGGTGTCTCCTTAGAGAGGCCTGATTTTGCTAAGTGTTCACTCTCTGCAACATCAGGTCCTTTAATGGTGCTTCACTGGGAGGGGCCCCAGGAATGCAGGAACCCCATATCAGTTCTCTTTTGAAAATCTTATACCCCTAAAAAATAAAAACTAGGAACCCCGTAAGACATATGGGCCAAAAGTGGCCAACGTCTCACCTGAAACAGACCCTCTCCACAGTATCTCCTACTGCTGTCCCGGGGACCTGGTTTCATAGTGACTCAAGAGTCCCTTGCTGATCTAACAGCAGTCAACGTATTCCAAGGGCCTCACACCCCACCGGGCTATCCCTGCTTAGCTTGAGTCAGCAGGAGTTCACAGCCAGAGGTAGCTGGAATCCCCTTCGCTTTTTCACAGTCCTCAAACTCCATGAAAGTGCAGGTGGTCCTGGTGTAAGTTTAAAGCACCATCTTTCTGAAGGAAAGCGGACACCGAGAACAGACTGCCAGCCGTCTGAAATTCAGCAAGAGAAGCAGAAATTATTTGGAATGACTAGTCTTAAAGAGAGGTGGGTGACCTAAAAACCTGTTTTACCTGCTGTTGCTGTAAGTAGGACAAAGTTACTATGGAAGAAGAGAGGTCCCTTGACCTTTTTCAGTCAACTCTGTGCACTTAGCAGCACTTTCAGTTTCCTCTTTACTCAGTTGCCACATTCGTGTGAGTCTGTCTGTCCGTTGTACGGAGACACAAATCTAAGTTCATATATGGCTTTGACTCTTGTGGTATCTAGCGTCTCACAGCCTTTGAGGTGCTTATCTGCACACCACATCCTCCCGGAAGGACAGGCCGTCACGAAGCCCTTCTCCGTGCCTCAGTGTCTCAACTGGAAGAGGCTTGTCCGGGTCACACAGGAAGTTTGTGGCAGAGAGGGAATTGAGTTCCAGGCCAGCAATCTAACCACTAAACCATCCTTCTTCCCAACACACACACCAGCCCACGAAGGCAGAACCACAGTGCTTGGGAGGAGGATTCAGGCAGAGGGCCTGCGTCCCATTCTGCTCCTCTGCGATGCACAGGTATCCGAAGGGACGTCTCTTCTTCCACTGTAACTCTGCCCTTCTTACAGCAACATTCAACATGTCTCTAGAAAACGAGTCGTGCCAAATAGTCTCTACTTCTCTTGCCAGATTTCAAACAGCCAGAGTCCTCGTTTTCCTCCGATGTCGCCTAACTCTAAGGGCACCTCTATGCTGCACGAAATAGCCACGCTCCGTCTACACAAGCTGCCCGTTATTTCGAAATAACAGGCGCTCTATTTGGGCATCCCGGTAACCCTCATTCCACAAGGGATAAGGGAGGTCTCGAAATAGCACGTTACTCCAAAATCTGGCGCTGCGTAGACACGCCAAATTTCAAAATACGTTATTTTGACATAGAGTCAAAATACGATGAGCAGTTTGCAGCGCGCTCGTTGCACGTCGCATTTTGAGTTGAGGGTGCTGCGCAGATGCACCTAAGCGACTGGTCGGCTTTTTAAAAAGCAGCCAGCAACTAGCAGCTGCTCTGGCGGGGCCGCCTGGGCCGCAGACGGCAGCTCTGAAAAGTCTAACGCGGTCAGGTGTTTGTGAGCCCTCACTCCCGGAGCTGCCCGAGACCTCTCTGAGTCAGTCTCCACCGGCCAGACTCCTCTGCTCAGAGGGCCCTTTAACAAGATACTGGCTCCCCACCCATTTCTCCACAGGAAATGCAGGAAGCCAGGAGAAGTCAGCACAAGCCTAGTCTGGTAACTTTACCGCTGGCTCACAGGCGTTCCGGGCCGGGTTTCAAGGGGGGCGGGATACGTGGGACTCGCTGCCATTATTAGATGACCTCCCAAGAAGAGGGCAGTCAGCCCTGCACTACAGATGGGCAAACTGAGGTACAGTGGTGCCCACCCCCCCCCCCCCCCCCCGGCACTGCTTCTCTGGAGAAAGCCAACGGCACCTCCTTCGACAGTGCCCAGAATGGGCTCCAACCTCGCTCGTGAGCCCGCTCTGGGCCTCCCCCGCTTGGGGCCCCCTCCCAGGGCGAGGACAGGACCGTGGGACTCTGCTGCCATCCCCCTGCCCCCGCCCTCAGGCGCGAAGAGTGGGATCCTACCTGGGGTTCTGGCTTGTGCAGGACCAATGAGGAATAAGCCGTCGGGAGAGGTCTTGCCATAGACGTCCATGCAGAAATACACCTCTCTGGTCCGCCCTTCGATCAGCACCAGCACCAGGTCCCTCAGGACAGTGGAGGGGGGTCCCTGGAGCTCAATGAACGCCGACTCCCCAGGCGAGCTGCCCGCGTGGACCTCGCTGATCAGCGCGGTCAGCAGGGAAGTGGGGATGCAGTGGTTCTCCTTGCCTGGGGTGGGCGTGGCCACTTGGAAGACCCACTGAGAACCTGCCCCAGGGCATCTTTCTATCGACTCGTCTGTGGTCCTGAAGGACGGGTCCTCCAGGAAAGCATCCCTGCTGGGGGTCAGCACGCTGAGCAGCGCATCTGCTCGGTCGCTCCTCCTCGACGTGTGGACCAAGGCATCCACCAGTCCCTCGCTGGTGACCCTCATGCCCTCCCGGCAGCTCCCCTCCCCGTGATACAGGGCAATGGCGTCAGGCCCGTTCTGGATTGTGTTCTTCGGCAAGATGACGGAGGGCCGGGGTTTCACCGTGGAAGACCCAACAAGAAAGAAGCCTTGATGATCGGTGACTGTGCCCTGGAGGTTGAGGACTTTGTAGGCTTGGTTGCCATTGCCATTGTAAAAGACCAGGCAGTAGCTATCCAAGGGGGCCGCTCGGCCGCTGGTGTGGTAGAGCTCCACAAACTCAGAGGTGTCTTCCCCCGGGTTGTCTGCGTTGAGCTCGTTTATCAGGAGGGAGTGCTCTGTCTTCTGCTCCCGGGGGCTCCGGAGGAGGTCCCGAGCCGCTGCCTCCCAAAGCAACATGCACAGCAGCACCCCGGTGGCCACCAGCCGCCTGGCTGCAGTGGCAGAGGCCATGAGCTCTCCCACGTCCTGAAATTCTGGGGTTTCTATTCCAGTTCAACCCAAGAGGGTGCACGCCGGAGCGAATGGGAGTCCCGTCAGCAGCTCCGTCTCCTTGCTCAGACTGGCGGGGGAGAGAAGCCCCTAGAACCGGGCACCCACAGGAGACCCGGCGCTCTTCTGGGAGCCCAAGAGCGCAGAGTGAAGGGGAAAGGCCACATCCAGCTGCTGGAGGGGTCAGGAGGAGGAGGGACACCTCCCACCTCTCCCTTTGAAAAGAGACACGGTTACATAGGAAGGAAGGAGCTTGAAAAAAACCACAGTGGAAGTTGAGGGCATTAAACAGCCATTTGTATCCAAAGCCCCTGGACAGTGCGGGGACGCCCCTCCAGCCAGCGCCACTCCAGCTCTGGCCGCCCCTCAGCCTGAGGAGCGAAGCGGCTCCCAAGCCAGCCGGCCTTAGCTGTGTGGGCCCCGCACAGAGCTGTGCAGCTTGCCCGTGCTCCATGGCCACGGGGCAGAACCGCAATATTTTAGAGACGTGATTTCATACCGGCCGGCAGGCACTACTGGGATATTGCAAAGCTACTGCACACGCGGCCCCCGGCGGGAGCCAAAGCAAAGAAGTCAGTGTCATGGTCTTCTCTTGAGATGCCTTTCGTAGTGACATCCTTGGCCTGTCACTCTCATTCTCAGCAAGTCACCAGGTCCTGATGAAATGCATCCCAGGATACTCAAGGAGCTGATAGAGGAGGTATCTGAGCCTTTAGCTATGATCTTTGAAAAATCATGGCAGACAGGGGAGATTCCAGAAGACTGGAAAAGGGCAAATATTGTGCCCATCTATAAAAAGGGGAATAAGAACAACCCAGGAAATTATAGACCGGTCAGTTTAACGTCTGTCCCAGGGAAGATAATGGAGCAGGTAATTAAGGAAATCATATGCAAACACTTGGAAGGTAATAAAGTGATAGGGAATAGCCAGCATGGGTTTGTGAAGAACAAGTCATGCCAAACTAATCTGATAGCTTTCTTTGATAAGATAACGAGCCTTGTGGATAAGGGAGAAGCGGTGGATGTCATATACCTAGACTTTAGTAAGGCATTTGATACGGTCTCGCATGATATTCTTATTGATAAACTAGGCAAATATAACTTAGATAGGGCCACGATAAGGTGGGTGCATAATTGGCTGGATAACCGTAGTCAGAGAGTTGTTGTTAACGGTTCTAAATCCTGCTGGAAAGGGATAACAAGTGGAGTTCCTCAAGGGTCTGTTTTGGGACCCGTACTGTTCAATATCTTCATCAATGATGTAGATATTGGGATAGAGAGTACTCTTATTAAGTTTGCAGATGATACCAAACTGGGTGGGGTTGCAACTTCTTTGGAGGATAGGGACATAATTCAAAATGACCTTAGCAAGTTAGAGAAATGGTCGGAGGTAAACAGGATGAGGTTTAATAAGGAGAAATGCAGAGTGCTCCACTTAGGAAGGAACAATCAGTTCCATACATACAAGATGGGAAGCGACTGTCTAGGAAGGAGCATGGCGGAAAGGGATCTAGGGGTCATAGTGGACCACAAGTTGAATATGAGTCAACAGTGTGATGCTGTTGCCAAAAAAGCAAATATGATTCTAGGTTGTATCAACAGGTGTGTTGTAAGCAAAACTCGTGAAGTCATTCTGCCGCTCTATTCTGCACTAGTTAGGCCTCAGCTGGAGTACTGTGTCCAGTTCTGGGCGCCACATTTCAAGAAAGATGTGGAGAAATTGGAAAGGGTACAGAGAAGAGTGACAAGAATGATTAAAGGTCTAGAGAAGCCTATGAAGCCAGGCTTCATGAACTGGGCTTGTTTAGTTTGGAAAAAAGAAGATTAAGGGGGGACATGATAGTGGTTTTCAAATATCTAAAAGGGTGTCACAAGGAGGAAGGAGAAAATTTGTTCCTCTTGGTTTCTGAGGACAGGACATGGAGTAATGGGCTTAAAGTGCAGCAGGGGAGGTTTAGATTGGACATTAGGAAAACATTCCTAACTGTCAGGGTGGTCAAATATTGGAATAAATTGCCAAGGGAGGTGGTGGAATCTCCCTCTCTGGAGATATTTAAGAACAGGTTAGATAGACATCTGTCAGGGATGGTGTAGACGGAGCTTGGTCCTGCCTTGAGGGCGGGGGGCTGGACTCGATGACCTCTCGAGGTCCCTTCCAGTCCTATGATTCTATGATTCTATGACTTCAATAGGGCCTGCGTGTGGTGCAGTCTCGCCTCCATCTCTGTATCTGTGCCCGGCGGCGTGGAAGAAGCTATGTGCATAGATTTGCAACCACGCTCAAGCTGCGGCCCTCAGCACGTGCTGTGAGTATCACTGTGGCCACCGGGGCTTCCGGAGCTGAGTAGCCCTGGCGCAGAGCAAATGGCAAACTAAGGTCCTGGAACTAAGCCAGTGAATTCAGAGGCCAGCAGCTCATTGCAGGGCTTGGCACATGCCCGTGAAGTGCCCTTGAACGGCTCTTGCACACGCTCGGTGTTCCGCTCGAAGCTCGGGCCGGCGTGTCGCCGTTAGCCAGCTCCTCTCCGGGGACCGAGCCGCAGAGCTGGGGGACAAGGAAGCGGGAGGGCGGGCATTAAGACGCAGCGGTGCCCCACGTTTCTGGGAGCCGAGCACAGCTGTGTGTGGGTCAGGACAGCTCTGCTCACAAGCCCCAGTATTAATGTCTTCCCCAAAGCGCCTGTCACCGGCTACCCCCCGGCCCTCTGGGGCCCCTGCTGGAGAACTAGGCCCTGCCACACCCTGCCCCAAAAACGCGCAGAGGAGGGTCCTCCGAGCTGCCTCGAGGCGCGGTGTCAG